AGAGATATTAGAAAAAGGTGCTTACCTGTGGCCTTATCTTGGACGACTCAAGCTCGGATGGTTTGAAAGTTGCGGCAAAAGATTGCTGAAAAACAAACAAGAATACAGGTTTTTCTTCAACTTCAAAAATTTTACCTTAAAGGCATTTTTCATGGCCATTAGCCGACTGTTAGGAGCTGCTCCAACTGGACCAACATTACTGAAATGAATGTAACATAGAAATGTCGAAAATTGATGCAGATGTATATTGTCATAGAATAGCAAAACACTGAGTTCTATTACTCATTCACATGTGTAAGATGGCTTGACGTTTCGGTTGTCAAAAATGCAAGATAAATATCGTTGAATATGATTAGTGCCAAAGTAAACGACGTATCGTGTCACAGCCTGGCACCAGCTCGCCATTTTAATCTTAGAACGATACAACATCTTACTCCGAAGACGTCGCTGCCCTAATTGTGTCACGAACAGAAAGATTTGTAGTACCACGTGACTTCGTCTCCTTCAGTGGATCAAGCTGGGAACCTTCAATAAGCTTTGATTCAAACATAGGAACTAATTGGGACATAACTAAGTCACCTCCAATGCCCGGTGCTGGACGGGTTTTTGGCTTATAACCAAGCCCGAGTCGAGCTTTTGCTTTGGGTGCTCCACCTCCTTGGCCTCCTTGTCGCTGTGAACGGAACCAAGCAGACTTCATGGCAAGAGTTAGGAGAGCTTGAGGAACCTGCAGCACAGAAATACAGATTTTATTGCGGATTTCGGATGAAAGTATGGTAATACACAATATTTTGCTAACTTCTTGGTTAACACTTTCGAGATTTCGAACCAAATGTCCAGCCATTTCCATATCTTTCTCAGTAACAAGTGTGTATGCCCAGCCTTTCTGTCCTGAAAATTCGAATGAAGAGAATCGGCTGATTTCCGTAAACTCCTTTCAAAATTCGAAAAGGACAATTAATCTTCACAATTCATGACTTTTATACACTCATCAACAGCTGGTGTACTAATATCTCTGCTCCTCCGCGACACGGACGACTTCACCACAAAGCTATACCAACGGAATTGCGGAAATCAAATGGTCATCAGACCTTCTTATAGTCAAAACTTGCTAAAAGCTGATATTTGAAGAGTATCCAGGTAGGATGCTTTAGAAAAAAACCAATCAAATTTTGACAAAAAAAAAAGTAAACATGGCAGCACACGCAGGGCTGTTGCAAAAACTAGTACATTTTCAAATCGATCGAAGATTCTGCCCCGATTAATTTTTAAAAAAGGGGTAGAGACAAGCGATTGGAAGGCATTTCCGGAAACTAACTTACTGAAAGATAAGGGCGCAGCTGTTGAAAGATCATGTCAAGATCAAGGGTAATTGAAATAAGATCAGATTTTCCAACAAACTAGATAAATGAGAGGGGAAGAAGCTCTCCCCTTACCTGCTCTGCCAGTTCGTCCTATTCTGTGCACATGTGTGTCAATGTCCCTAGCGAGATCATAGTTAACGACGGTTCGAATCTCCGGAATATCCAAACCGCGCGCTGAAGGAATTACAATTACATCTTGATATTCCCAAAATCGATAGAGGACTGTGTAAACTGTGTACCTGCAACATCCGTAGCTACCATGATGTTAACCTTCTTGCGGAATGCTTGAAGATGTTCATTTCGCTCATGCTGTAGCATATCTCCATGGAGTAAAACTAGCTCAAAATCACGAGCCTAAATGAAAAGCACTGGTTTGAGTCGGATGAAAAATGAAAGCATAACATACTCTGAGCTTCTTAGCAAGATCCTCAGCATTTATCTTCTTTGTAACAAAGATCAGAACTTTGCCCACTAAAAACACTATTTTGTAGTCACCACGAAGAGCCTTCATAAAAGCAAACTCACTAGAGCCAAAGTTAACAAGCCTTTGTGTT